GGTCAGCGCTGAGGGAGCGCCGCACTGTCGGAGGGTCAGCGCTGAGGGAGCGCCGCACTGTCGGAAGGTCAGCGCTGAGGGAGCGCCGCACTGTCGGAGGGTCAGCGCTGAGGGAGCGCCGCACTGTCGGAGGGTCAGCACTGAGGGACTGATGTTAAAGCTGGTCTGATGTCCGCTGTGCGGCCTGGGTGTAAAAGACCCAGGTGCAAGTTTTAGTCAGGTTATGGTGCAGTGTCCCAGGGCCTGTTTTTCTTTTATCCTTTAAGAATGCAATGGAATGGGCCTTTGCCTTTACTGCATTGGCCACTTGCTGTGCACCAATTGGAGTGTTGGCTTCCCACAATCCACCAGTGACGAAGCGTCCACAGAAACATACCGTGCTGTCTGTACCATCGCAATCTTGGGAATGGTGTGGGTGGGAGTTGTGTACGTGTTGTGACCCTCCGTTGTCTGTCTCTCTCACTCTCTCGCTCCCGCTCCCCTCCATGGCTACAGATCACCATTGATGATCCCGAACTGGAGAAGCATGCAGCCACCACCCAGGAAATCCTGGAATGCTGCAAGGACGTCCGTGTGCTCGGTCGCAAGGAGCTGAGGTGAGGGAGAGGTTTGCTTTCCGAGGTGACGCTGTTATTGGATTGTGGGGTTCCTCAGTTCAGGGGCCTGTGCGTGGAGTGAGCGTTGAGCCGCTGCGGGGCCTACCCATCAGGCTGCAGCAGAATGGGAAGTGATCCCCTGCAAACGTAGAATGTTCTTGAAGGTGGGACATTACGGCTCAGCGATAGAGACCCCAACTCTTGACCAGACGACCAAACTTCATGTCCCACCTGCTCCACAGGCACGTAGTAACGTCTCTGACCAGAAATGATCTAAAGTTCTTTCACGTTCCCTCAGCGCTGACCCCCCGACAGCGCGGCGCTCCCTCAGCGCTGACCCCCCGACAGCGCGGACCTGGCTTAATTATCACACATATTAAAGAAGAAAATAGTTTTATTTCATTGAGAAATGAGCTGTCTGTGGCTCCTGCAGCAATAATGTATGTCTCTGACTGCCTTTGAGAAGGTGTTTGTGACCCTCCTGGAACTGCTGCACTCTATTTAGTTTATGTAGCCCACAGTGAGCTACTGAGCGTCGGTGGGGGGAGGGAGTGGGATGTTTGTGGATGTGATGCCAATCGAGCGGGAGGCTGCTTTGTCCTGGATGGTGTCGAGCTTCTTGAGTGTTGTTGGGGCTGCCCCCATCCAGGGGCAGGTTGGGAGTATCCCATCACACTCCTGCCTTGTGCCTTGTAGATGGTGGGACAGGCTTTGGTGGGGGAGACGGGACGGGAGTTACTCGCTGCAGGATTCCCAGCCTCTGACCTGCTCTTGTAGCCGCTGTGTTTATGCAGTGGGTCCAGCTCAGTTTGTGGTTAATGCTAACAGCCCCCAAGATGTTAATTTCTTGGGGTGGGGCGGGTTTTGGGGTTTGGGGGAGGTGCTGATGATGTCCTTTCTGCTCTATCAGGCTGTTGCTGAACTGGAGGACCAAACTGAGACGTCATCTGGCCAAGAAACTGAAGGAGCAAGCGAAGGAGCTGGGCGAGGAGTTCAGGTGATTGTAGTCCCACTCCCCTAACCCCCAACACACAGACACTCTCTCTCCCTTTTTCTCTGTCTCTCACAACCATACACTCACGCACTAACTCACTCTACGCACGCGCACTGTCTCTCTCTCATGCGCACTTGGTCTCACGTACACTGACCGCTTCTCTCTCATGCTCGCCGTCTCTCTCACACGCTCACCATCTCTCACGTGCGTTCCCCCTCTGTCTGTGTCGCGCGCGTTCCCCCTCTCTGTCTGTCTCTCGCGCGCGTTCCCCCTCTCTGTCTGTCTGTCTGTCTCTCGCGCGCGTTCCCCCTCTCTGTCTGTCTGTCTCTCGCGCGCGTTCCCCCTCTCTGTCTGTCTGTCTCTCGCGCGCGTTCCCCCTCTCTGTCTGTCTGTCTCTTGCGCGCGTTCCCCCTCTCTGTCTGTCTGTCTCTCTCGCGCGCATTCCCCTTCTCGCGCACGCGCCCTGTCTAACGCAAGCACGCCCTGTCTCTCACGCGTGCGTGGCCGCTCGCTCTTCCCGCCGTGCGCTCACCCACCCACCCCCATCTGCAGGTTATGCCGTTAGCAGCAGTGGGCAAAGCTGAATGCTGCTTGTGGTGGTGGGTGGGGGTGGGGGGGAGCGGGGAGCGCGCGGCGCGCGGCGGAAGACCTTGGAGAGGTGGGCAGGGTTTGTGCCAGACCGAGATTGGCAGTTGGAGGGGTGGGTAAGGAGGAGACGGAGAGGAGGCGCTGCTGACTGGAAGGCACTGGCGGAGCGTGGGGGGAGACTGGTGGAGCTGCGGTCCTCCGCTGGACCTATGTGGGTGACCTGGGGGTGCCAACGTACCTACGTTGCTGTCACACATGGTTTGGCAGCACATGCCTGCTGCAGTCGAACAGCCGACGGGGATTTGAGCCACGCCGCTGGGGTGAGGGTGGGGCGGTGCACACTTCTGGTGGAATCCCACTCGCCAGGCGTTGGGGTGAGGACCCCGGGGAGGGGTGGGAGAGCCAGTGTGTGACTCTAACCAAACGCCTGGTCTTTTCAGCCTGAGCTCGGAGGACGAGAGCGAAGCGGAGAAGGACGTCCCAGAGCAGCGGGAGCAGGAGGGTGACGAGGGAACGGAGGATGAGGAGCAAATGGAGCAACAGTTGACTCTGCTGAAGGCCGAGGAGGTGGCAGAGCTGAAGAGGTAATGCCTGGGGCCTGGGTTTTGCACCTCCCTGGGTTTTGGTCACTGTCAGAGCAGATGTTAGGCCATGAGGCTATGGCACTGCTGCCTCATGGCGCTAGGGACCCGGGTTCCCACCCTCGGGCGACTGTCTGTGTGGGCTTTGCACGTTCTCCCCGTGTCTGCGAGGGTTTCCTCCGGGTGCTCTGGTTTCCTCCCACAGTCCAAAGATGTGCAGGTTAGGGTGGATTGGCCGTGCTAAATTGTCCCATAGTGCCCAGGGATGTGCAGGTTAGGGTGGATT